ACCAGCTTGGTCAGCAGGGACGTCTGCGACTGAACCTTGTTCTGGTTTGGTACAGGCGAGAGAGCATATGGTTTGTGCTGCTCTCTGACTTGCTGGATCGTGAATGACTCAAACAAGTTGAGGGCCGTCGCCAGGGTACCGCCAGACGGAGCCGAACTAACATGATTTTCGGCGTTAGAGCAACGGTCTGTCAAAGTTTCGACCGTCCAATGGACGGGCGACATGGAAGAACCTACTCCAGTTTGTGGATGGAAACCGTCACGGCGCCCGTTTTGGCCGAGAGCTTCTCGCGGATCTGCTTTGCCAGTGACCAGGTGACGAGGTCTGGCGGCGCCGATTCGATTCCAATCTGGGGAAACATCATGGCTCCTGTCCCCTGTGCCGCGCCCTCGTATTTGCCAATCATCGTGCCGGTCCAGGGGGTCTCGCCGGTCACATCGAGGTAATGGGTGCCATTTTCGGCGCATGCTCGAAAGGCATGCTCGCCGTACTTTGCATAGGGGCCGACAGTGGTAATGATAATGAACGTCTTTTTGGCGAGCGCCTCAAGGTCCGCGTGGTTGAGGCTGCAGACTTCGATTTCTGTTCAAAGTGGTTAGCACTCATTGCCTTGGTGACTTGTTTGGCCGGGCCTGCAGGAAGGATCCAACCCCTCCCTCGAGAACCCGTCACCACTCCCCTCCATGCATGCTCTCTCTCAGCTCGCCGTCTCGAGTGCGTGGCAAACTCGTCTGTTGCCAAACAATCGAGAATGGAAGACGCCGAGACAGCCACTTGGCCGGTGAATATCAGACACTCGTCTGATCTCGGTATAACCTAAAGTACCTCCACTCACCGGGCTGCAACCTGTCGGGACTCAGCTTCTTGCACTCAGCAATGAGGCCTTGGAGCTTGGTCTCCGATCGACCTGCAACCGCCCATTTCAAATTGGTCGGCAGATGTGTTGTAATGTGCTCTGCTACGAACGTCCCGGTGTAGCCTTTGAAGATGTTAGCGGTTGGAAGTTGTGTTACATCATCACGGCCTCCTCGACTTATACACACCAGTAGCACCGAAGACGACCAAGTCGTACTGGCGGCCGTGCTGCTTCAAAGGCATCTCTGACGCTTGCAAAATAGTATCTTCTTACAATGAGTCTGAGTTTGGTGGGAGAGAAGGGAAGAAACGCAGTTGCAAGAAAAAAAAAAGTAAAGGTGCGAGAGTCTCAGACATCAACGTTTGCACTCATAAGTCATGCGTAGGCCGGCCATCTTCACACATTCTAGCACGCCACGAAAAGCGGCACCAATGTCCGGCCCCTTTCACAGATGCACGATGATCCCTCGCAAGTGTGCCCGTTTCGCTGTCCATTGGTGACACATTCAACGCTGCGGCCGTCTAGACCGCAAACTTTGTGATGTAGCAAACGGCGATATCAACTATTCAAGGCATCTGGTCCGCGCTGCCTCGGCGGTCTAGCGTCTTCGTGACAACCACCCGGGCGCTGTGCTTTCCACTTACGGCTAAGAAGGGCCGAGCGGACAGCTGTGACGCCGATCTCCCGGTCTCCTCCCCGGCGTTTGAAGAGGCACTCCAGTGCAACCTCTCGAACAATGCGCCAAGCTGTGGTAGGTAAGCCACGGCCACACATCAGGTGAGAGATCACGTGGGGAGGTGGGTGCAATTTTTTTGTGAGAACCTACAAGTTGCGTCAGGGCAGGTGGAACCCCACGCCGGAGTTCTGCCGCATGCTCTGCTCGTCAACATGGTCCGTGCTTGCTTTCCAGCGCACAAACGGAGTCGGCAAGCCCTGACAAAATTCAACACCATCCTCTAGAAATTTCAACCGCCGTGGAGGAACTAGCAACACCACTCGTCGCACTTCAAGTCAACGAACCCGTTCCCCCCCAAAATTCGACAAAATGGCCAAGCGCACGAAGGTTCGTAATGCTCTACTACCCCATCCAGGACGAACGACCTCATCGACTTCCTCGTCAATGCTTGGACTTCCCTACCCCGCGTCGACAGCGGCTCACGAGTTGCCTCATTGGCGACAGTGGCATATATCATGCGTGGGCTTGGGCTTGTGGATTGGGTAGGGAAGAAAAAGCAGGCCGCCTACGCAGCAATACCGAGCACAAAGCGAGACGACGACGCGAGAGAGAGAGACGAGACGAGACGAGCGAATTTCCATTGACGTCAACTTTCACGATACCTCACAACGTAGGGAAGGCTGGTACCGTCGCCACACGATTCTAAAGCCATCGGACTACGGGCTCGATTGCAGAGGGGTGAATTCAGCCCTCGCTACTCATCACGCCAAAACAACTTATGGAATCTCCAATGGATATCGGACATCTACCTCTCTCTCTCTCTCATCTAGGCTCGAAGCTCGGGGCTACTTGCTACAAGGCGGCTTTGACGTGGTTGTCGATGGGCCAGGAACTATGGACATCACAAGTGAGACACAGATTTCTAACAACCTCACAGAAGGTCGGAGTGACCGGAAAGTACGGTACCCGTTACGGTGCCTCCCTGCGTAAGCAGGTCAAGAAGATGGAAATCTCCCAGCACGCCAAGTACACCTGCACCTTCTGCGGCAAGCCTACCGTCAAGCGCCACTCCACCGGCATCTGGAACTGCAGAGGCTGCAACAAGACCGTTGCTGGCGGTGCCTACACTGTCGCGTATGTTGACATTCGATGAGATCTGAGGCCAAGATGAACGGTGCTAACAAAACCGCACAGCACCCCCGCCGCTGCTGCCATGCGCTCCACTCTCCGTCGTCTGAGAGAGATTGCTGAGGTTTAAGGGACGGATTACGACTGGTGGATGGTTTCTGCTTTGCATTTCGGGCGGTGTTGGGAAAATCGGATATCGTGCCTACATCCTGACGATGGCCATAACGGAACGGGTCTTCGGTCAGCTGCCAGAGGGACCACTTGGTCAGCAATGAAAAGAACTTGACGTACAACAAACGTCCCCTCCCGATCGCTCCCTACTGAGATCCGCCCACCGACATGCTCAGGCAAGTCGCATTGTGAAGTGGTGAAGAGCGTTTCGAGACATGGCAGGCATGTGGAGTTAGTTGCCATGGATAGAGTCATCGACCCCGTTATTCAGCCGCGTGGTTGAAGCGTCGAAGCGGGCCACCCGACACAAAAGATTTGCACCAGTGGTCATGAAGATTCCTACACAAGGCTACGTGACCGTGATAGAGATTTGATAATAGCACCGCAAAGGTGCACGTCGAGGCCGAGTCATCTCCAGCGCAAGAGGAATGACCCGCCGGGGTGCCTACGTCAAGGCGGGTGTTCCACAAGGTTCTCACGAATCCCACCTGTCATCTCGACGCCCCGAGGCAATCGAAACCTCTATTTTGGTTTCTCAAAGCAGAGCGGACAGGTGCGCGGCAGTGGGATGCCGCGTTGATTCATAACTTGAGTCATCCAGGTGTTCTAGACTTACAAGGCGCGAATGCAGCTAGGGTGAGGCGGCGGGCCAATGAGGGGGCCCGGGCTGTCGCGGTGAAGACGAGCAAACCAAAGAAGCACGTCGGCGGTTTTTATTCCCATGCAAGTCGGTGAGCTGTGCTTCTGACCTCGACCCTGTTTCTGATACCGCTACACGTATGTTGGCAGAGACAGGTAGACGAACGCCCGCCAGCCGACGATCCCAAAGGACCTAGTACAAGTAAGCGCACCTTGGGAGCCTAGAGGATTACGGGCCGTGATCCTGTGCTCGCGGAAATGCCGCCGTAAACGAGAGCAGGTTCACATGGGTATAAAAGGCTATGCACATCCGCAGCAAATTGGACGGCTCCTTTCCCTGCCCTCCCGTGTCTCCCCTTTTGCAATTAATGTGGGAAACAAAGTTGCAGCCGGGACGAGCGGCCGTCAACGGCATCAGTGATCAAAGGTCGCTCGGGCACACCAAGCAAGCACCAAGGAAGAGACGGACTCTGGCTTGGGGTCGCAACCTGACGCAGGCCAGGCCATCGAACCAATCTCGTCAGCCTCCGAGAAACGAGGGGCGTGAAGGTCTCACGTGTACCTTGCTTTACGGACACAGCGCCGTAGCTTAGTTACCCCAATTGCCCATTTGCCTGCCATGCCCACTACCACCGCTGGCCCCCCCACCCGATTCCCGTCACCCGTGATGGGTGCATACCATTTTTGGAAGCGGAGATAGCACCCATTGTCGACCTGACCCATTCCAGCGCCGAATACTCACGCCCTGCGCCCCAGCTTTACCTCTTCAGCTATCATCATTCTTCCGCCCTCCAACGCTTCCCGCCGTTGCACGTTCTCAATCCTCCTTCTCCCGCGGTTCTTTCTCGCCTCCTATCACTCGGGCTGACGTTGCCCTCTTTGCGCGCCAACCCGGACCACGACCTCCTTGTCTTTCCTTGCCTTACCTCAACTCACTTCAAGATTACTTTGAGCTACGAACTACCAATGTACACCTGACAGGAAAGCCTGACGTAGACGCCTCACACCTCGCCCTCCATCAAAGGCGTCTCAAGTTCTCAACGCTACACGCCACCTGTCGAACCGACCTAAGACTTTCCATGATCCATCACACTTTGCTTAGCAGGATCGAGGTACCTGACCAAAGTCAGCAAACAACGTCGCACGAGCCAATTAGCCCGTTGATTGTTTGACTCGCCGCCCACCTACCACCTTCCCCCTTCCCACCCTCTCCCCCGGACACAGTTCGTACACTCTCAGTCACTCGGTCATTCTGTCGCTTTGTCACTCAGTACCTACCTGATCGGAGGCTGGCCAATAGACGGCAGAAAGAGGAGTAGCGAATCGTGAGGAGAAGACCGGCAAACGCAAACTCGAAGCAACCTAACGCAACCACGCAAGCTCCCAGCCGTTGTCTGGGTTCTGCCGCGAAAGCGAGGTACGTACCATTTCATTTCCCTTCATTTTCAAACCAAAGGTATCCGTACCTACGTCCCCAGATGGACGAGGTTGCCGAGGACCATCAGCAGCGGCAGTAACAACAGCATCTCTTTATGGGCTGTCCCATTTCCCGAGGACCTTGGTGGCCTTCTCGGCGTGGGGAGTCCGCGAGGTGAAATGCTCCTCCGGCTGGTGTTGATGCTCCTGCATCGATCCATGGAGAGTATGTGTGTGCTCTTGCAGCGGCCCTAGTGGGCTAGTCCGGTCCGTCTCAGTGCGTCGACCTGCCTCCAGCTTGTGTCCAGATGCGCGTTCGTGTCCGCGGGTGTGAGTGTGTGAGAGAGAGAGGGAGAGTGTGTGTGTGTGTGTGCCAGGCACTGCTGCCATTGCTGGTGGAGGCATGGGATGCAGGTGTTGGACGTCCATGAGGTCCCTGTCCAGCCCAGTGGGCCACCGACTGCGAGGTGCAAGGAGCGTGGCGCACCGCTGCATCAGCCGGCCGTTGATTGGCCCCAGTTGAGACCAGCGGCAGGCGTGCGCTAAGCTCGCAAAAAACCGCCTTGGGGTCCTGGCCTCTCCAAACCTTTTCTCTTACAATTCCAGTTCCCTCTCAGCACTGAGCAGCGCCCAGCACCTCCAGCACCTCCAGCACCTCCAGCACGTCTAGCACGTCTAGCACCTCTCCGAATCCCATCCCGTCCACCATTGGGCACCTCACCACGAACACACCTCGGCTGGGCACTCACAAGAAAGGCGACCCTCTACTCCCTCTCGCTCCTCTTGCTTGTCCCGCCTCACCAAGAGCACAGCCTGCAGAATTTTGAAGCCCTCTTCTCACCACCCCGGCCACTTTATTTTATTGTATATTTTTACGTCTTTTTGTGCTGCTTTAGTTTCCCTGCCTAGCGCAGCGGCGAAACATACCCCGAACCGACTGACAGTCCATCTGCCGCCAGAAACGAAGAACATACCTGCCGAACTTGCCTACCAATCTAGGCCACCTTCCACTTTCCCCTCCACCCCCCTTCCCAGTCTTCAGCAACCTGCCCAGTTGGTCGTGCGTTTGCGCACTCGACTGATAGCAACAACCCATCTGTCGCCTCAGCACTCTCCCACAGGTACCACTACAGAACGACTCGGCACCTTTATTTTACCACCCACGACCGACAACAAGGCAACAAAGCCATTAGCAAATTCGAACAATCACGGCTACAACAACAAGATCCAAGTGAATCTCCCCTGCATTATCAAAGCCATTTGTTGGCCCTGCTCAAAGACGCTTTTTATGAATTCATCAAACTTCAAGCGTTACTACCACAGTTGCCACAATGACTGAACCGGATCAGTGCATCATATGCCTGGAGTCGCTGCAGCACCCCTCGTTGCAACAGCAGCAAGACTCTGCTGCAAATGGAGCGGGCCCAGCAGCACCAAACGCAACAGCGACCACAACAACACAGCCTGTCTACCGTGCTATCGACTCAGACCTCGAAATCCTTGAAGGACCAGACACAAACTACATTGCTACTCTTGTTGGTTGCAATCACGTTGTCCACGATCAGTGCATCAGAAGTTGGGCCAAGAACTCCAACACCTGTCCCATTTGCCGTACGCCCTTCAATGAGGTCAGCCTCTCATCTGAGCTCAACGGTACGTATCGAGACATCCCGCTCCATGACAGACACTCGAATCAGGAGCAACAAGAAAACTAATGCCAGAGAAAATATTCATAGGCCCTCCCATCGATTCGTATGCCGTCCAAGACAAGAAGCAAGAGCAGGAGTTTGATATTCACAGATGGCTGCAAGAAAACCCCGAGGGCGAGGGCGAGGAGCCGAGTCCCGCCTGCCCCATTTGCGAGTCCTCGGATCATGAAGAGGTGCTGCTCCTCTGCGATGGTTGCAACGCGGCCTACCACACACATTGCATCGGTCTATCCGGCGTCCCCCAGACCGAGTCGTGGTACTGCTTTGAGTGCGACGAGAACAACAATTCCAGCCGGTCCAGCCCTAGTGAGGCTTCGGAAATCGAGGTCACCCAGTCACGGCCTTTGAACCTGGCTGCACGCTCGGCCAACCGACGAAATGTCACCGCTCAAAGAGGCCTGTTGCGAACCCAGTTACAAGCAAGAAACGCCCGACGCGAGGCGAGATCCCTCGAGTGGCAAGGTGCCTGGGACCGTATTGCGAGCCGCATTTACGATGCTACTGACATCGACCTCGACAACCACGAAGACGAAGACTTATTTCAGGGCTTTCGCCGTGCCCAGGCCCAGAGAGGACACTTCCGCGATATCCAAGAGCACCAAGACTGGGAGCAGCGCATGAGCATCGCCAGTCGCCTTGGCGCCAGAGATATTTTTGCGAGAAACATTCGCCCAACCGTTGGTCATCGCCTCGACGGTGGCCCATTCGAACCCATCATGCAACCCCCTCCGCCAGCTCCCGAGACAAGAGAAGAACAGCAGGCTTGGGGCGCACTTGAGAGGGCTCGCGAAGCCGACACGAACCCTTCCAACACCCGCAAGCGAAAGTCGAGATCCACCACGGCTTCGCCTCAGGAACCCGCTCAGGAACCCGAGCGCAAGCTGAAGCGACCTCGTACCCGCCGATTGCCTTTACAGGGAGAAGGCTCCGGATCTGCCTCTGCCTCAGCTTCAGTCTCGGGATCTGGATCTGGCTCCGGTTCAAGCGCCGTCCCTGCCACTGCGTCCGCCCTCGCTCCCGCACCTACGATAACTTCGTCGCCCGCGCCGACGAGTGTGCTGGCATCGAGACCTCAGACGAACGGTGCTACTCAGCGCGTCCAGTCTCCCATCAATACGGAAGGCCCATCTTTCCTGTCGTCGCTGCTCAAGGAGGTGGAGATGAGCGCGCCTCCCGACGACGAAAGTGTGCGGAATTATTTCGGCACCCACTCTGGCGTTGACCCCTCGTCACCAGTCACATCCCCCTCACCATCATCACGAAACTCACCACGGGCGCTTTCCCTCACACCGCCACCCCACCCCCGGCCTAGCTCACCTACGCTGTCTCTGAGCTCCTATGTAGAACCGCGATTCCCCAAGGCCAACTACTCGCCGACTCGAAACGCTGGGGACAGTAGCGACTCCGACAGTCGATCGAACGGCGCCGAAATTCGCCAGCCTCGTCCACAGCGGCCAAACCGGCAGCGGCCGACCTTTGCTCGGTCTCAGGATTCGTCGCCTACGCGACCTGCCATCCCCTTCGAGACCAAGGAGAGAATCAGTGGCATCGTCCGCGCTGCTCTCAAGCCCCATTGGCGCGCAAAGGAGCTCACATCTGAGCAGTACGCAAACATCAACCGGGATGTCTCTCGAAAGTTGTACGAGGGCCTTCGCGATCCGCAGACCTTGGACGATGATGCCAAGAAGACGTGCGAAAAGATCGCCACCAAAGAGGTGGCCCGTGCGATTGAGGAACTGAAGGCTTGATCGGCAGCATGAACGAACGGTATGGGCATTAGGCGTTATTGGTGTTTGGCAGCGAACCAAGCGGTCTAATACCCCAACACTCCATCTGAAGGAGGCTTCTTTTGAAAATTTTCGACTTGGAATTCCCCGTGTCTCTGGGATAGGGAGGATGCGAGACACACATGTATCTTAGACGGTCTCGATGTAGTAGCTGGAATCGCTCGGATCTCATGCAGACTCTGTCATGGGCGAGGCCAAATTCGAGCTGGAAGGGCTTTCTGTACTGTAGCAAGTAGATAAGACGATGACACGACCAATGGCCATTTACGACTCTGCACGAGAAGCTTTTGGCGCGGATGAAAATTTCCATGTGACCTGATCTCTGCAGCTGCACAATCAGCAATGTCAAGTGTCATGGGGAGCAATAAAATTCATGTGCGCGAGTGTGGAGGCGCGTCGCTGCCAGGCGCATGTTCACTCGCAATTCTCCTGACGCCGCATCAGGAGCCGCCGGTTCAAAACCAGCGGCCAAGGGAGCTGGTGTGTTTGCAGTAACTATCTAACAGTATAACCCAGTAAGAAAATTGCAGGTGCTGCTAGCGAAAAAAGACTGCTTTTTTACTCTGGGCACCGGAATAAATGATCAGGACGTTCTGGAGGCGGAACAGGTCTTGACGATAAGGAAATGGTGCCGTGGAGAGGAAAAAAGAAGAAAGAGGGAAAAGACGCACGGCAGGCGCTGGGTTGATAAAGGCTCTGCGCAGTCCCCAGCCCCGCTACCATGCTTACGTGATTGAACCCGCGCCTTCCCAGCAGGCGCGGTATTGACCCGGACGTCTGTCAAGGTCAGGTCGCCCTTGCTTTCTTACGTAAGGATTTCTGCTGCACCGTGCACAGTGTTGGTAGTCTCGTCTTAGGTAAGCGCCGCCTGGGAAATTCGGTACGTACCTCTGCTGAGCTTCACGGCAAAAAAGTTCGATTCCCATCTAGAGATTCTCGACTGAGGTGTCATGGAGTAGACCGCGTACACCCATCCATTCACGATGACAGCTTCCAGCAGAGGCGCATTCGCCGCTCTTGGGCGCATAAATTGTAGGACACCCATTTCCTAGCTCACGCCACTGAGATAATTGACTGATTGGGTCCGGACAGTCACCCCCAGTGTCTGCCGACAATGCGCGAGGGTCCAGATTAGAGCTCCAGCTCACTCGAGAGCGTACTCGGGTGCCGCCGCCGCCGTCACGACGGCGACCACGACAGCCGTTCCCCCCCCTCCTTCGCCGGAAGTCAGCATCCCTACCGAGCCCGAGGCGGCGGCGGGCGTGACGATTCCCCAATCCCACATCCGAGCCGGTGTCATCCTCACGCGGGCGCCGCTCCTGACGCGGCCCTTGACGGACTTTGAGCAGGCCTACTTCTTCTACCAGAAGCGCCTCAACGAGCGGCTGACGATGCCCTTTATCACGTCGGTTTATTTCAAGCCCGACACGCCATCGCTCATCGACTGGAACATGAAGGTCAAGGACCGTCAGGGCACCGTGGCCAAGGAGCTGGGCGTGTACAACGGGAAGGCGTCCACGGCATGGGACGATGAGCTGGCTGTCGGGGACGGGCTGAGCAGGCAGGACAAGGCGGTCGAGCTGCTGTTGAAGGACGCTGTGATGCGCGTGAGTGACGACGCGGAGATTATTCCCGAGGAGGACCGCGCGCCGCCTGAGGCCCTCCAGCCGAGGGTCTCTGAGGCGGATGCGAGCAAGGACCAGACGAGGTTGGATCGCGCCATGGACCGGACGCTGTACCTTGTCGTCAAGAAGACTGTCGGCAAGAAGGATGTTTGGGAGTTCCCTGCGGCGGGATTGTCTACGGAGGAGAACCTGCACGAGGTGAGTTATATCGTCCCTGGAGGGGCGCTATTGTCCCTGGCCACACACGCCCCTTCTCATCCTCTGCTATTGCGACATACTGACAGCGAACGTTTCGCAGGCCGCGCAAAGGGTCCTCGATGACACGGCGGGCGTCAACATGAATACTTGGATGGTCGGCCGCGGCCCAGTAGCCGCGCACGTCGCCAAGGTCCAGGTCAGGCGCGGCAAGCTCTACGCCAAGGGCCACAAGACCTTCTTCCTCAAGGGCCGCATTATGGCGGGCCAGGCAGACCTGGCGGACAACAAGTTTGGGTACAAGGAGTTCAAGTGGCTGACCAAGGAGGAGCTCGGCAAAGTGCTGGCGCCGGAATACTTCCACAGTGTGCGGAACATGATGGTGGACAGGTAGACTGACTGGCAAACGCCATTGTTTTTATGCCATTAGAACTTTTCTGGTGAAGAGGGGGACGGCACAAGGATGTGTAACGCTGTTGTATCATAGATAAACTTGTACAATCAAATCTTTTACTGGATGATGTATTTGTCGGTCAGGGGTTGACAGTCTTGTGTTCTGCCTTTTGACTTTGGGCTTGACTGGATCGTGAGCTGGTTATACTTAGTGACGTAGTCCTATTCGTCCTAGTAGAGATGCAGTGTTTCCAAATTGGTTGCCTCGGGAGTATTCAAACAGGACAACCGTTGCCAAGCTGGGTACGGTTCCATAACGTCGTCCTCGGTCACTATAGCTTGGTGTTCAGTCCGCGGTCTCATTGGGAGTTTCTACCTCCAGGGTCGTGTTGCAATAAAGCCATCCTGACCGTAGTGCTGTTGATAGGCGAAAAAGCACAGGATTCCATGCTTCATATCACAATATAGATCCTGGTGCGTCCTGGTAACTATTCACGCCACGCAATGTCAGATGACATTTTCTGCAATTGTGTGGCCACGAATAGCGATCTCTCATCAAGGTACCTGCCTCGAGGCAAGGTGCCTTCCCTAACCAGAGGTAGCCGCACGGCAACATGTCTCCCAAAGCTACCTGACCTTCTACCCACCGGCGCCTTCCTTCCCTCATGGCCTAAGCCCCACTCATCCCTTTCCATCCCAAGGTGTCCCGACATGCCCTTTTATGTATAAACTCCTTCCTTTTCTTCAACAATCCGTGACGCAGTGGAATCACTAGGCGCTTCTGCGAGTAATTCTCTGAACGTTCCGTCTCACGGGTGCGTGGGTTCGATTCCCACCGCCGTTAGAAAAACCTCTGCATCGTTACACCTGAGGCTGGTAAGAGTCTCCAGAGGTTTTCATAGATTCCGCTGTCCGCGAGGATAAGAATTGAACTTTTGCAGTTTTTTCTGAATGATGATTTCATTTTGGTTTCCTTGATTTGACTTTGATAATATGCATTTGTACTGGCCACGAGGGTTTTCCTATTCATCGACATCTCGCTCTGAGTAATGGACCCTATCATTCTCCATCTTCAAGACCGACTTTGAATACGTTAAAGAGTATTCTGTGAGACGACGTACCCGATAAAATCAACGTACTTTCCTCATTTGCTTTCACTATAGAAAATTCCTTCCTAATCCTCTTCTTCAGGTTCACTGTTCCCAACTTACCTTCTGTCAACCCATCCACTTGGCTTTTACCTTCCCTTCCTTCTCAACCACCGACTACCGAACAACTGGAAACCAGAAGACTTTCGACAGCCTTTCGACGCCCAGCATTGAAGTCTCGTCGGAAAACTTCTGGCGGCAGCTGCCTCGGATTCTGCTATCCATCGCGAGATCTGATTTCGTTGCCATCGACCTCGAGATGACCGGCATTACGGACAAGAGCTCGGAAGAGAGACACGAAAACGCATCAAAGGAACAGTTGTATGAATCGGCCAAGAAAATTGCATCCAAGTTTAGCGTCTTTGACCTGGGCATCACCTGTATCCAACGCCAGCCAGGTTAGTGCCTCCATCCCCCCCCCAAGAAAACACTAGATTCTTCTTCTAACAAAATCCCAGATGGCTCGTACAAGACCGAGTCCTACAGTTTCATCGTCAGCCCATACTTGCACACTGAAACGCGAGCTGATGAAAAATTCGTCAACGACTTGGACAGGAGCCTTTCTGTTTCGTATGGCACTCTGAAGTTCCTGCGGAAGGAAGGCATCCTGTTAGAGAAGATTTACGACGACTGCGTACCACACCTCAGCCGCAAAGATGCCCGCCTGGCAAACGAACGTATGACGCGGCGAAAAGAGCCGTGGGATGCCAGGGGCCATGACTATGACGAGTACGACGAAGGCCTGTATCCGTTCTGCATTTACGTCCATGACACGATTGTAAAGTGGCAGCACACCTATCCGTGGGAGGTATGTGTTATTCATCGTGTTTTTCGTTTTACCAACAAGACGCCTTCTCTCATTTTCTTCTACACCCCGAATACCTCTGCTAATTGCCAGGTTGAATAGCGAGCGGCAGGGATCAAGATTCTCCTACCAAACTCCGGAAGCAAGAAGCGTATGAGTGTCTACAAACAAATTGTTCGTAAACAGGCTCAGGAGCTTGTTCCACACATGGGTTGCCGTCTTTGGAACCATGGAACGACAGTGATCATCTCTGAATTGGAAGATGAAAGAGAAGCTAGGGTTCGTGTATCACCAGCACGGACAATGAATGACAACACGATCAATAGCTGACACCGCCAAGAGGCGCGAATCTCTGCGGGACACGCTCAAGGCATCTCTGAGCAAGTACACAGGTATGCTGCCCTCGACGCGTGATGTTCCACCAATCGCTGACTATTGTAAGGAATTCGACTGGTCATTGAAGCACTGGCTGGGGGCGATTTTGCAGACCTGATTGATCCCAGCCTTATCGTCGATGCCATGTCTGGCTGGCCTGGTGAAGCACGAGACTTTTGCCGTGAAGTGCATGAATTCTTGCATCTTCTGTCACCAGAGCAATCAGAAGGAACCCCAGAAGATGAAGTCGAAGACCACTATTGCGAATGGTGTCTTTCATACCACGAACGTGGCACAGACTGCCCTGGGTCCTCTTTTAGACAGGACCCCGAAATCGCATCGCAGACGAACTTGGCCGCCAAAGACGAGTGTCTCTGTGCGCGGAAGCAAAAACCATCCAGACACCGAGCTAGGGATACCGAGATGACGCCTTTGGTGTATGATATTCATTGCGAACGTTGCTACCCAGATCTTGGCAGCGGTCTGCCCCGGGCCGAAGATCGTTCACATGCCGCGGGTATCCGAGGAACCAACTCAGGTAGCCACGACACTGAATCTAGAAACAGCTGGCGTTCCTCAACCAGCTCAGAGGGAGTGGTCAATGGAGGAAACGAAGAGAGCGACTGTAGTACCTGGGACACTGGAGCTGAGGCAACTGGCTGGGACGAGTCGACTGCCTGGTACAATTTGTGTCAAAATCTTGAAGACCTGTCCACGGAAACGCTCGACGATAGCGTAGCAGACGCTCTCGAGAAGCTGGAAACTCGGCTACAAACGCGCCGGCCTGTCATTGTCGGACACAACCAATTCATGGATCTTCTGTTCCTTTATAACACCTTTATCGACGACCTGCCTGATACTTGGGAGGACTTTTCGGCAAAGATACACGAATTGTTTCCAAGCATCTTGGACACGAAGTTGTTGGCCATCGAGGATGAGGCCATCGAGGGCGAAGACCCTTTGAAAGATCTATACAACAGGTTCGACCGCGATAGAACACGGCCAAGCGTCTTCTGGGAAGCAGCCTATGGCTATGGACGCCATGGAACAGCCCATCAGGCTGGCTTCGACAGTGAGTTTTCCGAACCAGCAGAGTCGCGAATGACTCGACTAACGATATTAGGTTATATGACGGCGGTTGTCTTTCTACGAATCGCCCATAAACTCGCCCGCGAGGAAATGGCCAGCCTCGAGGGCCAAGTCACTACCCACAAGAGCAAAGTGAAGAGATTGTACGACAGGGAGTGGCTGTCAGCGATTGGATATGATTCACGTCTTCTGGGGTATCCGCGAGACTTCAACAGTGGCAAACGGAGAGAGACAAACACTCGGGAAGTGCACGTGGGTCCAATGCTATGGGATATGCCGACATTCGACAACATTCGCAACTGGATTCGGATCGCCCCCCGGAAGACGGTCTATCTTGGTCGGACCAGCTGGTGAGATGAGCTGGCGACAGAAGGTGGTCGCAATTGGATGACAAAGTCTGCGGAACGCGTCAACGCGAAAGCACGCTCTGGGCTATTGGTGGGAGTCTCATTAAGAGGAAGACGCGTTTGTGCGTATGACGATGGTTTTGCAATGTCGTCGAGGACGGATGACCCTTGGTGGCTTTCTGGAGACGCCCCGCAAAACTGTGTTTCGATAGATGAGCCTACCTGGCTGAAAGCACAATAAAAAAGCACGTCGGCATTCAACAAAGCCTTTGATATGTCGTCACATGGTTCCTTTCCTAAATTGTGAGTGAGATGGTTCGGGCTGCAGAACCCATCTATGAATAAAAATCCACGTGAGATGGGAACAACAATGGCACTTTGAAGCCAGATGTGCGAGGTGGACGGACGTTCACTCTATCGCTAATATAATAGCAAAGACACCGATAGAAGCGTCAGGGGCTGTGAGCGATGACATTCTCCTCGGGTGCCGAGTGGTTTTGCCTCCCGGGAGATGCCTCGGAACAATCTGGGGAAGCGCAGGGGGGGCCAGAAAAGTCTAAGTCCTCAACGCGTTCGCGCAAACTTGCAATTGACAGCTGAGAGGGGTAAGTACGTAAATCAGCAAGAAATCATAATAGACCAGCTAAGTAAAGCAGTAATTCAAAGGGAGTTGAGCACAAACGAACATTTTAAATGACAGGCCGCAGCGAGCATGAGACGATCGTCTCTAAATGGTTGGTTATTTCCGGGAGGTGAGATGAAAGCTCGGCCGGTCGTCGAGGGCAACCCCTGTTTCTCGTACCCAGGCACTGCGTCCTCCCTGATCAGGAAACTCCACCCAATGAGAAAGTTGAGGAGGCCGGACGCCGGGGGAGGCCGCGCCCGTGGAGGCTAAAGGAGTACTTCACATGCGAGTTGTCCAGAGACAATGTCACTGGTAGTCGCTTATCGCTCCCCTCTCGTTCTGGCGGTCAGCTGGCCAGCCCTGGCAGCAGGATACAACGTAGAAGCTGGGGGGAAACCCACTAAGAAACAAACCGAGGCTAAACTTGCGCCATGGCCGAAAAGTGTAACCGTGCCGGTGCGTGCCTGTCCCGGGCAGCCGCGGTGCGGTAATCGGATTGTTTGTCTGTCAGCAGACTCCAACTCCATTCTCCAGCAACCCAGCACCATCACTACCGCACACACCACAACGCCCAGGAACCCGAATCTAACCACATCCACATGTCGCGGCTCTCGTCACAACCCACAGGTGGCATTTGAGCAGGAACGCGTATGATGGCCGCCATTCTCCGCACGCCGGATACATAACAATAGTCCCTGTTATTTTTTTCCCCCTCATTTCCCTCCGCCTGGGGCTCTTCAATGCCGACAAATTGACGCCTGCCGCCGCTGCTGTTGCTCCCACTCTAAATGCCCGCCAACATGTCGTCCCTCAATGGCTCCAACTCGGCGACCTTGAGTCCCACGGTCGCCTCTTCCGAAACCACCGCTACATTCCCACCACATGTGCTCGCGAGCTCCATCTCGTCTCTATCTTCATCGACCTCATTGCGCCGCACTTCACAAATCTCAAAGACGTACCGCCAGGCCTCGACTCTCTTCCTCACGCGTCGTCTCCCCGAGGCACTGTCGACCATCTTGCCATTGATCACCCCGCCGTCGGGACAGTCTGAAAACGGTGCAGGCGAACCAGCGCCCGTCGCCAGGGCATCACGATCCACGAGGATCAAGGTCTGGAGTTTGTACCTGACGACGCTGAATGCTATCGTCGAACTGGAGCCGGACGAAGGAAAGGATGCGTTTGGGAGTCAGGAGTGGAGGTCACTGTGCACCAAAGTCAGGGAAGGAGAGGTCTGGGAAGAGGTCGTACGCAACGGATATCACGGCGTCGAGAGCGACGTCGATTCGGACGTCGTCATTAACCTGTAAGATGCCCTCTGTGCCGCTGTTTTCCATGCAAGCACACACTTATAACAACGCAGCGCCACCCTTTTACTAGCCCACGCGCGTACACAAGAACTGAACCAAAGGAAGCTCGAGAGCTATCTCGCAGCAGCCACCTCGCCAAATCTGGACCTCTCCAAGAGATTATCCGGCTCGCCGTCGCCGTCACCACGGCTGAACCGACATAGGTCTCCAGCGAAGGCTACAAGTGGAGCGGACACACCGAGAGATCTGAATGCGAGGGTCAAGATCCTCGAGTTGTACACGCTCCACGTACTTATTCGCAATAATGAATGGGATTATGCCCGGGAGTTTATCAGCGTGAGCTCAGTATTAGACGACGAGCGTCGTGAAGCGTTCTTGCAAGCTCTGGAGAGCCTGCAGGAGGAACAGCAAGAAGCTGAGAGGCGAGAGACGCAAGAGCGACGTGAGCAGGAGGAGCAGCTACGGCGCGATATTGAAGAAGCAAAGAAATTGAGAGCTGAAAATGAAGAGAGGGAACAACGAAGGGTCGAAGAAGAGAGAGCACGGAGAGAAGGCGCCGAAGTTGACTATGGCATTGAGAAGACACCAAGTAAAGCGGGCTCGAGCAAGGCGGGGTCAAGCAAGGGACGTCATGCGAGGGCCGTTTCCAACACATCGGGGTCCAACTCGAATTCGAAAATGCCCGTCTCCCGGGCGAAAGGCAAATCTGCAGCTACGCCGACCTTTGGAACGAGAGCGTCCATGGTAATCTCCCGGATGCGCGAGGTCATAGACCAGCTAGGAGCATCATTCAAGACGAACCCGATGCTGCTGATGCGGCTCGTGGCCTTTATTTTAGGATTGGCCGTCATGTTTGGGCAAAAGAACGTCCGAGAACGGATACAGCGAGTGCTTGGTAATGGTTGGAACAAGGTCAAGGCGACCGCGGGAATGGGAGTCAAGGTTAGCTACATATGATTACGACGGGTACTGGCTAGCTTTGATCTCACTGTACTATAGCCTGTATCGAGTATATTGAGACGTTTTGAAGAAAATGAGCCTGGTAGAGGGTATCGACCATGTAATTGAACAAGTCTTGCGGCGAACACCTAGGCAAGGTGAGTGGATAGGCGTCACGATGCT